GAACAAAGTAATTAAAGCAATACAAAAGCAGAACCAAACTAACATTGGTGGTTAACCCGTGCTTCAGCATGGCTTTAAAGCTACAAAGTTAAACTAATGTTATAACAAATTCGAACTAAATGCATTTCCCATATCACCTGTCCTTGCTTCCACTGTCTGTGCATTTCCTTCTTGCCCTTTCGTTTGACCAGCAGGCACAGATGCACCGTTACCCACATTGTCAATTGACTGGGATTTCAAATCCAGAGCCTCATACCTGTTTTATAGAGGCACTTGGGAAGGTGAGGTGGGCAAGGAGGGGGTTCACCTGGTACGCTGAGCATACACTTGCCTCCATTCACTCCTGCCTAGTGGTGGGAGGATACAGGGTTGCCCTGATCAAGTGTTTTTTCTGGTGGATGTTTGTCTCAGGGAGGGCCATGGTTCTGACAGCACCTTCAGCCTTTTTGGCAAGACTAACTAGAGTTTGGATAATGTCAGGGCTGTGGACTGGCTTACATTCCTCTACTCTGCCATGAAAAGGCATAGGGAGGGAAGAATGATAAAGTGTACAACCCTGTCGTGTATTTTTCACAACTTGTTCTAGAAGGTGGCTTTCACAGCTGCAGTTGGCATCCTCATAGCACTGCATGCATAGCACAGTTACCTCTGCTTTTTCTCCAGGGGAGCTGCTGAAGTTCAACATCACTGTGATTACTTTGAAGCCCAAGAGCTCTGGTCTGGAACTAGACATCTGTCAAAGGGTAAGAGGAAAGACAAGATGCTGAAGCTGTACTAGCAGCAATGTATGGTGTTAGTACCAGCAGTCTTGATGCTTTTGGGAGACTCATCAGCCCCTTAAAGGAGCATTTGGAAGAGGCAAGAGCTGGGACCCCCTCCTGAGGAACAGTAGGCTGCTTTTTAAAGATCTAACGCAGCGCACAGGTTTTGACCATGGATCAAAAGAGATACTTGGTTTCATGAAAAGCATAGGGGACCAGCACAAAGTACTGTGTTTGCACATTGAACCTTACAGCCTCTAATTTTCAACGCCACACATTTTGACTGTGAGCCCTAAGTTTTTTTCCGTTAAGAGCAACAGGTTTTTAGGGGAAAAAAAAAAATTCCTGTTACAGAAAAATACCTGCAAAAACTGCCTCTCCTAAAAGGCCTTGTGTTTAGGTCAAATGTTCTGGTTTACTGAAAGGACAGTGTGGGGTTTTTTTTCTCTTTTTGTATTCCATCTGGGTTTTTTAATCATTTATGTTGGTTCTTCAACCTTGTCTTCCTTGTCCTACAGGTTAAGAGACTTTCTCCAGAAATTCTATTTTGTGAAGCACAGTAGCATAGAAAGGAAAAGCTGTCCTTTCTGCAGGGAGTTAAAAGGTACAGGGCAGGGGTAGAAGGTAGAGCTGCATATGGGGAGTGATGAGAAAGCACCCAGAACAACTGACCTCTGTGCATCAGTATCTGAAAGAGGTGACTTCCAGGCATCCAAACATCCCTCTTGGGAGGAAGGACCAGCTGCAAGCAGGGCTTTCCCCTGGCTTGAAGGGGGAACATTAGATCATTTGGAGGGATATAGGAAAGCCAAAGCTACTGGGAAGAGAGGTTAAGTCAAAGCCAGAGTATGGCTGCAGCCACACTCTTCCGTGAGTGTTGCAGTGTTTATGGAGCTGTCTGTCAGGAACAATGAAATGCTGAGGCTGAAAGCGAACATGCTAAGCACAGGTGATGAGTGCTCTGGCCTTGGTTTGACATGTCCCGTGTGTGTCTCAGGTTGCAGAACTGCTATTCTGCTTGTTCAGTGGTTACTTCCCAGTCACTCTCTGGAAGGAGAGCAGATTTCCCATCCCACAAACACTGGTTTCCTTCAGAAAACTTTGCATGATTGCAAGGGTACCTAGTTTTAGTTCAGAGATGTTGCTCAGGGGCAGAAATAGGAACAGTGTGGCTGAAGGCACATTTTGATCTGTGTTGCATAAGAAAGAGCAGCCAAGGGAAAGATCAGTGAAAGAACTCCCGAAGGGTTGAATTTTATGGCTCTCTTTTTCTGTTTGTTGCTACACAGGCAGGCAGTGCAATGGGCCCGTA